TAGTAGAACTCTAAATATGTACAAATTCAAGTGATTTCTTATGAAGAAGTTAAGAGTCCTTGGGGAAAATGAAATTTTATTTAATGCCATCTAGTGGGAGTATTTAACAAGTTAGGACAATACAGTAAAATATAATTTACATCCTCAGTCTTAAGTTAATTAACTCAATTTCAGATCTTTGAACCCCAATTAACCTATACAACAGATATTAATATACAAATGTTCAAAAAAGGTAAGCATCCCTTTGTTAACCAGAACCTATATAAAAATCTGTAACTATTTGTAGTCTCATAGTAAAAAGTGCCCTGATCTACTGTTCAAACCGGATGCAGTTTAAACAGATTTCGATAGAATGAAATTATATGTCTTATACCTGAAAATGAATTGGCTAATACCATAAGGTGATTAGTAGCTTGTAGAATTCAATTATTAGTTAGGTATACAGAAATCCGCATACATTTTGAAACACCCTAAATTTTGATAAGCCAAATTTCAAATAATGGTCAAAAATGTTCATTCCCATGAAAATAGTTTTTTTTGTCTAAATTTATACAGATAAAGAGTAATATTTATGTAATATTGAAAAAAAAATTGAGAAAATGATGATATTTGGGAATATTATTAGCAAAATATTTTTTCTTTATTTGGCTGTGTTTCATAATTATTGGAACAGACACTTGATTTCCAGTTTGGCATTAAAAAAAACATTGTAAACTAAAATTTTTTTGACTTGTTCAATTATCCAAGTTAAATTTATCTATTATTGTCAATTTAAATATATTGGTTAATTTTTATTGTATTTATTTAACTATGATGTGGAGTAAAGACATTGGGAATCTTGTACTAAGGAAATACAAGAAAATAGGAAAATTAAGAGCAACAGCAAAGATTTTGGGAATGGCACAATCATCAGTTAGCAATATTATATGATATCAATCCACTAGAACAGGAGAATAAGGGTTGTTCAAAGAGACTTACAGAGAGAGACATAGGCAGGATGAAAAGAATACTAAAGAAATTAGAAATAAATAAAGAAAGGGTGATAGCAGGAAAAATTTTCCAGGAATTAGAAGCAGATGTATGGAGCTGAAAAGACAAAATTTCAGGTATAAATGAGTGAGACAAAGACCTGACTTCACATGGACAAATCATGGTGAAAAAGACTTCAGGGTGATGAAAAATATGGGCAGAGGTGGAGTAATGGTTTGGGGACTCATAACATCTGATGGAATATTTGAGATATGGAGGCTAAAGAAAAAACTGAATGCTGACAACTATAGCAGTTTTATTGTTGAAGATGTTCTGCCTGTAATAGAAGATATATCAGCTAAAATTCAAATCTGAGGCGGAATTATGGAAGAAAGTTCAAAAGTGTTCTTATGAGGGTGTAAAAAGGATACCAAACTTATTACCAAATTTATACAGGGGAGTAGGGCATAGAGTCAGCAAGTGTTTAGAAAAAGAGGATGGTTACACTGAAAAATAGAAAAAATGTAAACATTAAACCCCCATGATTTCTTTTTCTATTGATTCACTTGTTTGATTTATTTGAGATTGATTTCGAGATGAATTGTAGAGGAATGAAGAAATCGTTGAGTTTTATTTGAGAAAATGTTACAAATCTAAAAATCTATTAAAATATGAACTTGAGCAAAGGAAGTCAAGTGAATTAGTCTAGTTTGAAAAACCATTCTATGGTAGTAAAAAGATTACCATTGATGAAACCATGTCATCAGCTGTCATACAACCTCTATATCTTACAGTTAAGATATCATCCTTAAACATTTGAATTAATCCACCTTTTGATATAAGCTCTGATCTTCCATGAGATCTACCAAATTTCAATAGTCTGAATTTTCTAATATTATTAACTTCTACATAGGCTTCAACAGTGTTTCTGAGTATGACAACCACACTAATATCAATGTAATATGTACCAGTAACTGGAACTTTATATTCCCTAGTTCTAATAGTCCATGAATTAGTTGTATCTTCAATTACAACATTAAAAGCCATCAACTGCATAAAAGTAGAACAAGATGATGGATATCTGTAACTTTGATGCACAAAGAGAATTGGTAGACTATCATTTAATTTGAATGCCATAAGGTATGTAGGTAGGCCTATTGTTGAATTATGGCCTCCATCCAATCTATATTGCAATTTAGAATTAGCTGGTAATGCATTAATGAAACTACGTGATAGTTGATCGGAACTAGCCATTTGGTTTTCAAGTCTTTGTATCCTTGAATAAGGAGTATTATGATTATTACTATAAATGCTGATTCTTAGATTAACATTTGGCACAATGCCACAACCAAAATGAATAAAATATTTTCCACCTTCCAAGTTTATGAATTCAGTATTTGATGCACCGATTGAATAGCCTCTCATATTTACAAGAATATTTAATGGAATATAATTTTGTTCCAGAGAACTACTATCTGACCCAACAAAAATATAATTATCTGTTGAATATTTAAATCCTACCCAGTTTGTATCCTTTCCAGCATTGCTACCTAGTAGGGATGCGGTGGGTAACATTTGATTGATGTATGGACTAAACAAAGGATTTAGGAAATATAAACCACTTCTACTTATTTGCTCTATACCATCTTCATTTTTATCTCTTTTCAAATCAATCTCCCTTCCAATATTCTGAAGGCGAAGATGTGCTCCAGTTTGTCTGCTCATTGTTGCAGTCATCGCAAAGTAATACACTCCTGCCTCTTTAATATTCAAACGACTGGTCAAAGGATTGTAGAGATTATCTTGATTTACATCAATAGAACTCCATTGGATTCTTCCCTCTGATACACTAATGGTTGACTGCAGTGATACCATAAAGCATGGTTTTTCGCCAGATGGACAAGGAGGTGTTTGACAATTTTCAATTTCAATTGGTAATCCAGAACATTCACGACCACCATTTGAGGGTGGGGGATTATTGCAATCTCTTGTTCTAGTACGAATTCCTTCACCACCACACCTTGGTTCGCAATCGCCCCATGCTGACCATTCGGACCAGTTTCCGTCACTAGGACATTTCGCATCTTGGGGTGGAACACATAATTGCACTGTACAATCTCGTGGATTTACTATAGGATTGAAAAAGTATCCAGGAGGACATTGCTGCGGCCAAGCTACTCCATTTTGACAATGGTAATAGATTCTACAATCTACTAAACTAGCAACTGTTGCATTTAAATTTGGAGCGCACTCATTTGTTTTTGTGAAGCATGGAGTTTTAAAATCTATTTGTCCAGATTTACATTCCAAAGGTTCGTTTTCAATGGTTGCATTCCCTAGAGGTGGGCAATCCGCAAGTTCAGGTTCAGTGCAAGTTCTAATCTTACAATCCAATGTTGAAAATCTAAAGAACAGACCAAGAGGACAATTCTGAGGAAAAGCAGTTCCATTTATACATTGATAATAGGCACCACAGAACTCTGGATCTCTATACGCTCCATTAATTGGTCTAAACTGATCATCAACAGGACATATAAAACCAAGTGACGATGAAAACAGTTGCAAAATGCAAACTATATAGAATAGAGTAGATAATTACAAAAAGCAAAAAAGAAAAACAGAATTAAAATACTTACAAAGTGAAAATATAAAACTTTTCATTACAGAATCTGTTTTTCACTGTTTAATAAACAAATAAAAACTTTGCCTCTGCCTATATAGAATTAAGAAACCAGTCTAAATGATAATTCTCTCTTTATTATTACATTTTTTATCAAAAAAAAGCAAGTTTAACTATTTCATTATCAAATCTTCAAGTTAAGATAAAAAACAGATATTGAATTAATTTATTGATAATCAAAATCTACTCAATCAATTAAAAAACACTTGAAATAGTGTTAATATTCGGATCTTTTCTAATCTCAAGTTCAAGAATAGGGGAATTCTGGGCTGAGGTTTGTAGTAGGGGTCCAGACAAAACGTCTCCTGAAGGTAAATTTTAGGGCTGGTTAGGAGCTTTTTTAGGATTAGGAAAAATTCAATTTCATTGATTTCAGTCTATGCCAAGGCCAAACTGAAGGTCAGGGACAAAAAAGTAGAAATTACTTTACCCACTGTTGGGTAAGGGTTAGGGTAAAATTGCAAAATAGGGGACATTTTGTGCAGCATCCTTTGTAGTATTGTTTAAAACGTCCCCTAACCCTAACCTAGCCCTTGTCTCTCTCTAACCCTTTTGATTACCCCTAACTACAAATCAAAAGCTACTTTACCCCTCCTAACCATTTTTCAATCCGAAATGTCGCTTTCAAAAATCTCACTTGGGGACGTTTTCTGTCGGCCCCCTTTGACAAGGTTTCTTTCAGACTTCAGAGTATCACATTTTCTTTTTTTCAAATCTGTTTTTTACTTCAACTTTTAGCTAAGTAATTTGTTTTCTTGATATCATTATGATCTGCATTTTCTATTGTGAATAAATTTTAATCTAGCTATGTTATATCTTATCTTCGTTTTTGAACATCTAGTTTAAGAAAACACCTGAAAACTGTTTTTTTTTTGTTTATATTATGTAGTGTTTCATTGATTTGTTTCACTCAATATTATCAATAGTTTCATTAACAATTCATGATTCTTTGATGAATCATATAATGGGCGTTACCCTATCATTACAGGTTCACTGATACGCGGCAGTAAATAAAGCTTATAAATTGATTTTTTTTTCTGCCAATCGATTGATGGTTGTTACTAAAGACGGTTGAAATACAAAAACATTTACAATGGAAAGCTTTGAATCTAAAATACCTGCGAAAATTCTCCTTCATAATTATTCTGATAGAAAGAATGATAAAGATAAACAGTTTAATGATATTTTGTATGAAATTACTCCTGATAAAAGAAAATACAAGGTAAATATTTAAAATTGAATTTTTTAAAATCCCTTATATTTTCTTTCACACATTAAGCTGAAATTACAAACCTACTGGAATGAGGATCTTGGGAAGATAATCAAGAAATTTCATGTGAAGAGTACATTGATAGGCATAGAAATTTGAGAATAGGCTCATTCAATATTCAAGGAATTTCTAAAGAAAAAAGTGACAATTCTACTTTAAAAGAGGTTTTGTTATATTTCTATAAAATAAAACAAAGATTTAGTTTCCTTTTTCTATAACAGATTGTAAACAATTTTCATTTTCTTCTTCTTTTGCAAATACATACAGAAACAGAAGATTTAGAAAATTTGCTAAAGAACATTAATGGTGATTATTAAAATTCTTATTAAGGACACTTCGGAATGTTACATTTAATGGAATGAAAACAAGTGTTATACAATCTGCAAGGAATGATAGGTAATCTAAACTAGAAGAAAATGAATCCTTTTTTTCTCATTGAATGTTTTTTCTCTGTAGGCTTTTCATTTGTGGAGATGAATTAAAAAAACATTTTATAAAAGAAAGTGACATAGTATTTTACTATCATCCTGAAAGTCATCACTATCCAATTGGTTTTGAAATTGAATCTACATTGGATTTGGAAATTGATAATAGTGAACCTCCAACTAATTTGACTATTGACCTAAATAAAAATGAAATGAAATTAGAAAATGTCAAATTACTATTCTTTAATATGAAACATAGTCCTTTGTCTATTTTGGTATTCCTGAGCTAAATAATAAAAAATCACCATATAAAATTGTGAAAAAAGTTTTTGATGAAAATAATTCTCCACCTAAATTAGATAAATCTACTAAATTTAAACTAAAACCATCTAAAGACTCTGAAAGCTTGGAGTATGATCACATTGGTACAGTAGTTTATCAAAATCGATCTATAATTGAGATTATTGATAATTCTTTCCCAACAAAGTTATATGTTTTCAAATATTCAGAAGATGAACAATCTAAATCTAAAAAAACTTATTTTATGTTTTTAAGAAAAAATGAACAATCTGAAAATGAACAGCCTAAAAATGAAGCATAGATTTGGAATATTATTCAAATATAAATGGATGTTATTGGGTGTTGTTGGCCTATAAAAAAACTAAATTAGTAGTTAATATCACAATAACTATATCTACACAATAGAGTAACATTATTATTCTTTAATGATCAGTTAAAAACAGTATATTGTACAACTTTTGTTATATTTTCTGATATAGAAGAAATATCAACGAAAAGATTTGTAACTTGATAAAATCTATGTGAAGTAAAGAAGGCATTATTTAAATGATTCTCACCTAAACTACAAAGCTTTTACTATAAGATTTACTCAAACTTCCTAAAAAGAAATGCTATATTTTGTTAAATAAGGTTTTTTTCCAATAAAATGATTGATCTGTTTGACTTTGTTGTATTGCAATTGATGGAATTTCTCCTAAGTCTGAACAGTATTTGTCCTTACCAGCCATTTATCAACTCACCATAGTACGCAAACAAATAGAACCTTTCCAATTCGTCAGCAAATAGTCTTAACAAACGTGAAATTTGATTGTCTCATAATTCACATATAACAAAAATATGAAAGACTTGTTATATCACAGATTATAAAATATAATCTTTAGATAGCCAACATGTATTACTGTGTAACAAGTCTGTCTCATCAGCATAACTCATCCTCCAAGCCACATGTTCTCAATTGGGCTGATATGTGTTCTCCTTGCTGGCCAATCAAGAGGATGGATGCCATTCACCTGAAAGGCTCTTTTAGTTATCTTTGCAGTATGTCATCCAGCATTATCTTGCTGTAATTGTAAGCATTAAGTTTTTTCTTTAGCCTCCATATCTCAAATATTCCATCAGATGTTATGAGCTCCCAGACCATTAATCCACCTCTGCCCATATTTTTTGTCACCGTAATGTCTTTTTCACCATCTTTGGTTCACAAATGAAAATCATATGGCTCACTTATTGAGAATCTAACCTCGTCTGTACTTTAGACCAGTCTAGATTATCACTGATCATCTGAAGACAAAAAATTTCTCCTTTTACAATTGTTGGCTGTGAGATCGGATTTTTGTCTAACTCCTAATATATTTTAGAATATCTCTGAGTCAGTTAGTAGCAATACAGGCCTTCTTGACCGAATCCAAAACAAATATGAATAATTCATTACCTTTACAAGTGTACTTGAAACTATGAGATTTTATCTTATCTTATAACCAATAAAGTTTTATATCCATATATTCTCAGTTCTACTCTTGGAATGCTTGATCAAGGAATCCTAACAAGAAAAAGTTCAACTTGTTTTTAGATTTCGTTAGAGCCGCCTTTTTTAATCAGGTGTGTTTAGTTTAATTTACTTTTTCATTCTTTTTTTGTTGAGTATGAAACATTTTTGTGATTTTTTTCCCCCATGTTAAACATTCTCTTAATTTGCTTTTCAGGAAGAAAAAGCTTTTTTATATATACCCATATATATCATAAAAAACAGCACAATAAAGAAGATTAGCAGAGATTTCAGTGGATCACAAAATTGACTTTTTATGACTCGACAAATAAATTGTTCGATAAAAAAAATGATGTCTATTTCAGAACAAGAGGCAATGCTATATCCAGAATATATTTGGCCAGTCATCTGCAAAGGCCTTAGTAAATCAACAAAAACATTGAAAGAAATTAATTTTAATTACGCTGAACTTAATTACGAAGATAGTATTCCTATTTCAAAATTATTAAATGAATGTACTCAAATCGAAAAGATAAGTATTAATGGTAATATTAATTTAAAAGATGGATTATCCAATATTTGTAGAGGATTAGGCAATTCGTCAAAAAAATTAAAAGAAATAACATTTCGGCGTTCTGGCATTGATAATGGTGTATGTAAATGGATTAGGAAGCTATTGATTAAATGCTTTCAAATTGAAGTATTCAATTTAGAAGAAAACATTCAAAAGACATCGGAATGGTTAGATATTTTGCTTGGACTAAGTAATTCCCTGAATTCTTTAAAATCAATTTCTATAACATTTGAAACGTTGAATGAAAGAACTCATAGATGTTTTGATAAATTTTTACAGAAATGTAATCGTATTGAAAACATCACAATCCATTGTTATTCAAGTTCTAGTAAAAAGTTGCTTAAATTATGCACTTCGTTGGAAATATCTGCAAAGACGCTAAGAAAACTTGATTTATTACTTTTTGAATGCAAACTAAAAAATTTGCGTTGTATTGAAAATCTTTTAATAAAATGTGAAAATATGGAAAGTATAAATATACATGGTAGTTTTGAAGACTTTCAACCTTGGTCAATATTTTCTACACTTAATGTACTGGCAAAAAAATTAAAAGAATTAAATATTGTATGCGGAATGAATAGGGAAATGCTTAAACAATTTGAGGAATTATTAAACAATTGCTCAAAACTTCAAATGGTAACATTTCCAATAATTGTATATGATGTGCCAGAGGATGATTTCTTTAAAATTTGTCAAGGTTTGCAAAATTCTTGTAATACTTTGAAAAATTTAGATTTTACAAAATGCGCTCTAAATTCAAATTGCTATAAAAATATTGGAAAATTCTTAAAATTTTGTTCAAATATTGAATTTATTTATATTCAAAATATTTTCTATAAAAAGAAAGATATATTAAATATTTGTGATGGCCTTAAAAATTCATCTAATTCATTAAAGTTACTTTATTTGAGTGAAGGCAAAACTGCCGTTAAATCGTGGATTCCTCTATTAAGCTTGTTAATCAAATGTCCAAATAGGCTAAAATTAATTGATTTTTTGAATTTGAAGGCAACCATACCTATAAAAGATTTATTGTTAAATATAACTGAACAGATGACTATATCATCAAATACAATAAAAGAGATTAGATTAAGTGAACTTTCTCTTAATCTCAATGTATTAAAGGATTTGGCAATTGTTGTACGACAACATACAAGAATAAAATCAGTAGAATTAATTAAAGCAAATGATGAAAATATGCTATCCAGAGTTTGCAGTGCTCTGGAAATGTCACGTGACAATATTGAAAGAATTCATATTTCACAAGGAGACTGGAATCATAGATCATTTAATAAAGTTTGTAATTTTTTGAAAAAGTGTAAAATTCAATCATTCTCATTTAAGGATAATGAATTAAGCAATCAGATTACAAGTATTTGGGATAGTTTACAGAATTCCGTGTCTACTTTAAAAGTTTTAAAATTGAGTTCTCAACATGAAGACACCAGTCATTATACTAATTTAGGAAAGTTTTTAGAGAAATGCGCCAACATTGAAGAAATTGATCTTTCAGGCAATGCTTCTTTATCAGATGATTGCTTTTCAAAAATTATTAAAGGTTTGAGAAAATCATCAAAAAATTTGAAAATTTTAAATTTCAGTTCATGTAACGTTAATGACAAAAAAGTTGAAAACATTAGTGAACTGTTGATGAATTGTTCAAAAATTGAAACAATAGATCTAAGTTGTGTTATTGGAAGCTCATTAAGAAATATTTTTAAAGGATTGGAGAGATCAGCCAATAAGTTAAAAAATATTGATTTTTCACTTTGTCCTGTCGTTGATGAATCTGAAAACGGTTTAGCGCAACTGTTGAGTAAATGTTGTAAACTTGAAACGGTAATATTATCTTCCAATTTGAGAGATGAAGTAAACAATATATTCAAAGAATTGGAAAAATCTTCTGCTACTTTAAAGAAATTGAGTTTTAAAAACTGTCAATTAGATGATAGTCATTTAAAATTTATTGGCAAATTATTGAAAAAGTGTACAAAACTTGAAAGTATCTGCCTAAGTGAAAATAGAATTTCAGCGGAGGTTTGTACTCTATTTGAAAATTCACTGAAAGAGATTGACATTAGATTTTGTGGTACGGATAATAACTTTTGGTCAAATGTTAAAAATATGTTGAAAAAATTTCACCATATTCCAATTATTCATTTGCATGGAAATTCAATAGATGATTTGATATGTTTTGTTTTTAAAGGGACAATCAATGATGAAGAAATGACATTAATTTGTGAAATCAATACAAGGAATAATGATATGTCACAAAATATTGGAAATATTATATTAAATTCATATAAAATATCAACAGAACATCTTGGTAAAACATTCCAAAATATACCTGGACTTGTAAAAATTCTTCAATATTTTTGGGAATGTAAAGATAGTCTAATTGGTGTCAATCTCAGTAATTGCAATCTTGATTTAAGAATATATGAAATTATTGGAAATCTTCTGAATTCTTCTAGTTATATTAAATCTGTAAATTTTTCAAATAATCCAAACATATCATATAATTTTAGAGAATTATGCAATGGACTTAAAAGTTCAAGTTGTTATTTAAATGAAATTGCATTTTCTAATAGTAAATTAGGAGAAAAAGACTGTGAAGATCTTGCAGATCTTTTATATATATGTCCACACATTAAAACAATTGATTTAAGTTTAAATGAAAATATGGGAGATGTAATTATGGAAGTTTTTGAAAATCTTTGCAAGTCATCTCTCTGTTTGGAGGAGATCAATTTAGAATACTGCAATTTAAAGAATAATACTTGTTGTAACTTTAACAAGCTGATTAATAAATGTCCAAAACTTCAATCCATTAAGCTGGAAGGTAATGAAGATTTTATTGAAAGGTATGAATATTACAAATCGACTGTGGTGTATGCTTATGAGTCCTATTCGTGTTAGTCATCTTCAATAATTGCAGGGGAATTATGATAAAAATGATTCATCATTAGTTATATAGTTGAAATAGTTACATAACAGATGAAAAATCTTTCCTATTCTAACATCTCTGATTTAATATCCAATTGAGAGTAAACCATATTTCTTTGATTTGATTTGTGTCAATTCATTGGTGTGGTTTTATATTTATTTATAATGCTGTGAAATGTTTATGTTTTTGATTTTTTTAATAGAAAACATAAAATTTTACCTTTACAAGCTGTCAAATTGCAACTGGCAAACATTGTTGCATTTCCAATACAATCGTTACCTCCGGGTTTTGGAGGTGGGTTTGTCACAAGTTCTTGTTTTGTTTTGAATACAATTTTGTTTGTGATTTTCTGCACACATACATCTACTATCATTTTTGGTAGGTGTAGTCCTATCTTTGTTTTGTATCTGAACATGTTTCAAAGGTTTACAGTTAGGTGGAAAAGTGGGGGGGAGAGGTCTGCCTCAATAATGTACCATCATCCTTTGTCATATTTGAAGCTATGATGCTTGTTTCTGTATTCGCGGGAATCATTGACAACTCTTGATATGTATTGTCTTAATTTAATTACGATTGAACCAAAATCGTCAAGGTATTGGTTAATGTACTGAATGACTAGGGATTGGATTTCATAAGGTAATCTCTTGGAAAACTGTCGAAGTCTTTCGAATTTCAATTGACTTTCATAAGTTGACGTGTTTAATAACGCAAGGAGAGTCCTAAATTCGACCCAATCAGACATCATTTGAGGTTGGAATGGATCCTTTTTGTCCAGAATTTGTTGTACCAAATTACATCCATGTGAAGATATATCACTGTAAACATAATCTAATGTCTGAACACAATTCTATGAAATTCCCTTTATTATGTTTGCAATTTGCTAAATCATAGTATTCATGGCATACTGTCCCCTCAAGTATCCATTTCTTTAAAATCTGACATTTTTCCGATTTGGTAATGTCGGATTCTAACAGTGGAACAATATTGTTCCTACAAAAATCTTGGAAATTGGTACCACTGAACATTTCTGATATGGTAACCTTTTTGTTCCTTAAATTTTCGATTCTAGGATTAAGTTGTTTCGAAGCACTTTCGACTTCCTGTATTGGATTTGAAGTATTCCGAACCTGCAAACTTCTGCCATCTTGTTCTTTGACCATTGGAAAATGTTCCATTTCTGAGGCATCGCTGGAATTTGACAGATTTTTATTGGAGGAATTGAACTTGATAGAGTTGACCAGTTGAATGAGTTGGTCCATTCTTGCTTTATTCTGAGTATTTGATTCTTCGAATGCCCTTGACTGTTCATCCAATTTCTCTTCAAACATTGCTAGATTGACCATGTTGGTCCCTTGGATAGTAGTTTCCAGTTGATTTGGAGAGTTGGTGCATTTAGCGATCATTCTTAAGTTTTTGATTCTAGGATCAAGTTGTTTCGAAGAACTTTCGACTTCCTGTATTGGATTCGAAATATTTCGAACCTGCGAACTTCCGCTATCTTGTTCTTCGACCGTTGGAAAATATTCCATTTCTGGAGCATATCCAGAATTCAACGGAATTTCTTGACGAGGGTTGAGTTTAATGGAATTAACTATTTGAACAATTTGTTCCAAGTTTGATTACAGTTTGTCTCAAATTATGTTTCCAGTGCTGCTAAATTCTGAGCATTTCATTTTTCCAATTTCTCATCAAGTGTTGCTGAGTCGACCATGTTGGTCTGTTGATTGAGGGTTTCCAATTGGGTAATGAAAATATGGTTGGGTTTTAAAACGTTAATATTACGCCATAACGAAATACAAACATAATGCAAATATTTTAAATTTAAATATCGTACAATTATTTTTCAACACTCGAAAAAACCATTCATTATTCCAAAATTAATTACGAGAGTTGTCAATATAAAAGTTCATTCAACTCAAAACTTGAAATTTAATGGAGTAGTAAACGAAATGTATTTTGTATTTTATAGTTTAAATTGTTTAGAAAATGCTAAAGATTTAACACATTGTTTATTTAAATATATGGAAACAAAGATTGACCAATTTTTTAACAGATAGAAGCCTCAATGGTGCAGTGACATTTCTGATTGATAGAAACCACAACATGAATTTGAAAAACTGTTGGAAGTGTGGATTAAGATTTCATTGGACAAAAAGAAAATTCAGATGCAAGTTGTGCATACATTTTTATCATGCAAAGTGTTCAAAATGTAAGTAAACTCTCTAACTTTCTCAGGTATAAGTGATGAAACTTCATTTGAGATGGATAAGCAGTATAACATCATGGAAACAGAAAGAGATGATTTCAAAATAGTTGTAGGTGTAAATACAAAAAATAAAGACTTACTTCTAGACAAAAACTGTTCATATTCTGTAAAAAGAAAAACCAAAAGTTCAATCACCTGGAGATGTACTCAGAGATATGCCAAAGCTACTTGTCCTGCATACATATTACAAAAACGATCAAAGTTCATTGTAAAAAATGAAAATCATCTTCAAAAATTGCATAAAAACATAGCAAGTGTTCTTCAATCAAGAATGAACTTGAAAGAAATCACAACTGGTGACAATGGAAAAACTGGTAAAAGAATAGCAGAAGATATTATCCTTAAATTTAAGACTTGCCAGAACTAGAATCACTATGAACAAAAGCTTCTAGATATAAAGAGAGTAAAAGACCAAAGCATCCAAAATATTTAGATTTTGAAATAAACCTGGATGAAATTCCAATTGATTTCTTATTGAGAGATATAAAAGAAAAGAAAAATCGTTGTATCATATTTGGCACAAATCATCAAATAGAATTACTGGGATGTTGTAAAATTTGGTTCATTGATGCAACTTTTAAAGTTATCAGAGATCCATTTTATCAACTCTTTTCAATTTATGGATTCTTGAAAAAACATGATGAATATCAACAGGTTCCATTGGTCTATGTTCTGATGAGTAGCAAGAAGAAAAGCTGTTATATTGCTGAACTTCAGGTTTGAAATATTTCAGTATTTTAATCACTTTTAATTTATCATTTATCATTTGAAAACAGGAGATAAGAAAACTAATCAATGATCCCAGAAAATGTGTGCTTGACTTTGAAAAGGCTATATGGATGGCACTTAAAGAGCAATTTCCCAATTCTGACCTTCAAAGATGCTCTTTTCATTTCAAACAAGCAGTTTTGAGGAACATTCAGGTAGATTAAATGATAATATAAAGAAAATAATTAAATATTTATTTTATTAGAAACTTGGATAAATTACTGATTATAAAGAAAATGGGTACAAAGGAAAAATGTTACAAAAATTGATGTGTTTGGCATATCTGCCTTCAAATTTTATTGAACAAAAGTTTGTCCAACTAAAAGAAGAACTTTGTGAAAAGAAATTGTTTGCAGATTTGCTTGAATATATAGAAGAAACATTCATTAAAAGCAGTACTTGGCCTCCTCAATTCTGGTCTGTTTATTAATTAATTGTGAGAACAAACAATCATGTTGAGGCATGGCATTCCAGACTCAACAAAAATTTGAAAATGGATGAGAACTTTTATTCTCTAATAAAAGAATTGAGAAGAGAAGCTGAATTAGTAGAGATCTTTGAAAAATTTTTGTCTGAAAAAAAGTTGAGAAAGATGCAGAAGAAGAAGTATCAAGATTTAGAATTTAAAGTATTCCAGTTGTGGAGTAAATTTGAAGAAAGAGAATTGAGTTTTGATGAATTATTGGATAGACTTGTTGATTTAAATATTTGTTAAAATTTGTTATTTCTTGTTCTGCATTTTAGTTATTAAACTTAACACTCCTTACTATTTGTAAATTGTTTTTTTTTATATTAACAAAATAAACATAATTTTTCACAAAATAAAAATTATATTTGTCATATTTATCCATTAATAAGTACTAACCCTGTCTTCAAGTGAGACACAATGCCTTTAGTATGACTGCCTTAGAATGGGCCGAAATGTCCTAAAGTGGGCCGAAATGTCCTGACCCTTATAAAGTCATCTATTCAAGGAGTATAAAATTCAAGAAAAATCACTTTATTACAAGTGATTTTAAACTGTTTATTAAAAATATTAAAATTGCAACTATGCTATTTGGAGTTACAACAATATTTATACTCGGTTGGTTTCCAATTATATTAGCAACTGTTGGCATATTTCCAACAAATGCCATCCTATATCATACATATCTTATCAATAATTCTTCAAATTTATTTATTTATATTTTATTCCAAGTGTCATTTAGAAAAAATATTAGAAATTTCTTTTTTGGCAAATGTCAAGCATCTTTGAATTCTTCAGCAAAAATTAATATAGTTGTTCCTAGTCGTATTTTGGGATCAGTCGAAAACGGCCATAAATGAAATATTTGAAAGTTAGATTTCAGCCTGGGAAATGGTTAGGAGGAATAAGATAACTGTTGATATGTTCTTAGGAGGGTCCCATCTAAGGGTTAGGGGTATTCAAAAAGGTTAGGCAAAAACAAGGGCTGGGTTAGGGTTTGGGTAAAACCATAGATTTATGGCCGTTTTCTACCACATCCTCGTATTTTGCAAGTACAAACAACTCGAGATTAGAAAAACGCCCAAGTACAAGACATTATCAGTGTTACTTCTACTTTGTTATATGCAAATGATTCATTAATATAACTGAGATTGAAATTGTGGAATAAAACAAAGAATGTCCAACATCTCTGTCTTTCATTATCTAATCTCTTTGCTTTTGTTTATTCATCTCTCTGTAACATTCATTAAATCTCTTAACTTTTCATTAAATTTTCATTCCCTCCAAGCTCAATAGATTGAAGGTTTGGGCATTTAACTAATAGATTATTAAGGCTTTCATAAACATTCTCTGTTAGTTTGCAGTATTCCAGATAAATCTCCTTCAAGTAAAGATTTGAGTTGTGAAGTTCTTTAATAATGTCTTCAATATAATTTCCCATATTTTCATTAAAACTTAGATCTATTAATTGGATAGAATTACAGTCAGATAAAAGTTCTACAAGAATCATGCATGAATTCTCTGTTAAATTACAATTACAAAGGACTATTTGTTTTAAGATATAGCCTGACATTTGAAGTGGATTGAATAGATATCCAAAAGCATCTGACATATTTGGATTGCAGGAAAAATCAACAGATAGAATTTTAGGATATGACATAAAAATTTTCCCAATATAATTACACATTTTTTCATTAAGATCACAACAACTAAAGTCAACACTAGCCACATCAGTTTCAGCCTGGGAAAAATACTTTAAGATGGTCAAAAGTTCAAAACTATTATGAAATCTTCCACCAAGATGAACTGTAGAAACTTCATAGGCATTTAAAATAATATTTCCAATGTTTGATGGCAAAGTATTTTTTATATATATAGTTAAACAAAATGAAATTTCTTTATCATTGACTTTCCCTGTAAAACCAAAAGGTATGTAATATTGATCAGTATTTTCAAGTAAATGAATAGTTGGAATATCATGAAAATTTTTTAACATATTTCTAATATCAAGCCAAATTGTTTGACCCATATCACAAAAACTAATATCTAAGACTTTTAGTGAATGTGATAAATTGGCAAATTCAAGGCATAGTTTTGATGAAATTTTATTATGGCTTATGTTAATATTTTCAAGCTTTGTACACCTTTTCATAAGATCTCCAAAATTTATTAAGCGATTATTAGCCAAATTACAACTTTCAAAACAAATTTCTTTCAATGTAGTTGAGGATTTTTCTAATTCTTTTAAAATATTATTGAATTCATCGCTCAAATTCCAATTTGAGGATAAAATAATCTTTTCTATATTAGAGCATTTACTCAATAGTTGTGTTAGACTTTTACAACTTTCATCTCTGATATTACATCTACTGAAATTAATTTCTTTCAAATTGGTTGCTGATCTCTCCAGTTGTTTACAAATATTTGTTAATGAACCTCCAATATCTTGGCTACTGTTTAGATCAAATGATTCAATTTTTGAACACTTCTTCAAAAGATTTGCAATACTTTTTACCATTTTCGTTATTGATATTACAAAAACTTAAATTTAAGTTTCTTAATTTTTTGGATGAATATTCCATAGCTTTAATGATTTTTGAAAAGCAATCATTTGGAATAGAAGAGGTTCTTGATAGATCTAATCTTTCAATGTTTGAACATTTCTCTAAAAATATTTTTAAGTTATTATAGTGAATATCATCTAAATCCACACACCAAAATTCCATTTTCATCATTTATACCAACTAAGCTTACAGATTCAATTCTTGTATGCTGTTGTATTATAGTTGCCAAATCTATTATAATTTGAATAGATAAGCGAGATTCATCCAAATTGATTTCTTTTATAGTAATTGATGAAATAGTCATTTATCAATTACATTCAAAAGCCGGATATGTCCATCCATAGAAGCACTTTCAAGTTGTATCTCTGGTCTATATGAACATTTTATAAGGAAATTTACTATAGGTGTCAGCAATCTTTCCACATTTATGCATCTATCAAAATATAGAAATTTTAAAGAACTATAAAAATTTTCAAGTCCATCACAAATATTTAATGCATAATTTTCTATACAGGTACTATATTCAATAATAATTGTCTCAATATTTGAGCAAAAGAGTAAAAGATTTCTTATGTTTATAAAACATTTTGCATTTAATGAACAAAAGATAAATTCTAGTTTTTTTAAAGTTTTACAAGATTTCTGCAATCCTTGACAAATAGTAAACATATCATCATTTCCTAAATTACTGGATATTGATGGAAAGGTTACACTTTCAAGTTTTGAGAAATTATTTAAAAGTCTCTCAAATTGCATAAGCATTTCGGAATTCATTTTGAAGTAAATATTAATCTCTTTCAAATTTTTTGCTGATAAATTAAGTGCAGAAAATATGGACCATAGTCGAAATTCGTTGTGATTATGCATATCTATATTTATACTTTCAATATTTTCACATTTTAACAATAAATTCTCAATGTAGTGTGAATTTTTCGGATTAAAATATATATCACATAAATGAATTTCTCTTAGTGTACTTGCAGAAGATTCCAAAGAAGGGCAAAATGTAAATAATTCACTTTCATAATTTGATCGATCATTGAATGTAAAATGTTCAATTTGAGTACATTTCTTTAAAAATTTACAAAAACCACTATAGCTTTCTTTATCATATATATTATCAATTAATTGAAATGTTACAAAAAGAGACTTTAAAGTAATTATGGAATTTTCAAGTCCAAGACAAATATCAAAAAATCCTGATAATGTACAAAACTTGAAAGTATCTGCCTAAGTGAAAATAAAATTTCAGCGGAAGTTTGTACTCTATTTGAAAATTCATTGAAAGAGATTGACATTAGATTTTGAGGTATGGATAATAACTTTTGGTCAAATGTTAAAAATATCAAAGTCTTTTATATAAGTTTTTTATATACTAATTAGGTATTTTTTGAAATTCGTCCTCCACTGCTGTCCATAACTCCTGTTTGTTATTCATGGTATGTTTTTGCACTCGATTTTTTAAGTTTGCCCACAAATTCTCTATAGTATTAAGCTCAGGGCTGTTGGCTGGCCAATCTTTCGGTGTCTTTATTTTCTCTTTCCTCAAAAATTTCGATGTTGAGGCCAAAGTATGGCACTTTGCTCCATCCTGCATAAGCCTTTCATCTTTCTCATATATAATTGAAAAAGTTGACATTGCTCTATCATATATTTCATCATCACAGAATTTGTTAATGACCCTAAAAATGTTGGCTTTCCAAGTATCTTTATTTCAACATAATAGTTTCCATAAAGATACATTTAGCAGATCTGGTATAAAGTAGCCTGCATAAATTTTGGTACACCATAAATTTTGATAGGCCGAACATTAAAAATCTTTTTCACAAAGAAAAAAGATATTTTATTTTTATTTTTTATATCTTAAATATTAGATTAAACATATATATATATATATATATATGAATAGCTTCTAAATAGAATTTAGGTAAGTTTTTATATAATTTTTTTGGTTTGATGTTATGTATTGTTTTATTGAGTTTTTTTCTTATTTGGCCGCGCTTCATAATAATTGGTACAGGGGGTTTAATGTTGATATTTTTTCTATTTTTCAATGTAACCACCCTCCTTTTCTAAACACTTGCTGACTCTATGCCCCATTCCCCTGTATAAATTTTGTAACAAGTCTGGTTGCCTTTTTATGACATCATAACAGCACTTTTGGATTTTCTTCCATAATTGCTCTTCAGATTCCAATTGTGGACGATCATATACTAGTCTTTTGGTCAAATGCCACATGTTTTCAATTGGGCTGAGGTCAGGGCTCTTTGCCAGCGAATCAAGAGGGCCATTCGTTTGAAAGGCTCTTTTAGTTGTCCTAGCAGTATGGCACCCAGCATAGTCTTGCTGGAAGATGTACTGCCTCCCCATTTTTGCTGATATATCTTCTATTACAGGCAGAACATCTTCCACAATAAAACTGCTATAGTTGTCAGCATTCAGTTTCTTCTTTATCCTCCATATCTCAAATATTCCATGGGATGTTATGAAATTGCAGTTCCTGGTTTATATTATATTGACATATCTATTGGAACATGGCCAGCAAGACAGTCAGTTGATCTACATTATGGTAAATGACCAACAAAAGTTAGGTATGCAAAGATTAAAAATTAGGTCCGGTATTGAGAGTAAGAGTTGAGGAGGATTGTTAAAATTTGCAACAAGGCGATACTGTATCAGTAGAGACAAGATACATTGTGTATAATGATTTTTTGAAAATGACATCACTATCTCTATTTTTTGTTTAACCTTTTTAGAATCATTACAAATACAAAATAAGAAAGCTTTTGTATATTATATAGCTATAGCACACAAAATTTCTTTTGAACACTGCCAGTTTTTTCAAGTCCTTGTTTAAGCAAATGTCTCTAAAAAGGTCTGATAATTGTTCTATTAAACATTAAAGAAAATATTTGGCCTATAATACAAATAGTGTATAATTTTCTAATATACTTTATTATGCTATATAGGCCAAATACTTAGACCAATTACAAACCACTTGCGAGAAAAACAAACATTTTTGCCAAGTCTTCATAAAAGACAAGGATTATGTCTTCAGGATTTTGTGACATAGTGTTACTAAAGATAAACATCAACTAGAGCATTCACCAAACAAAATTTACCTTCAGCTACCGAAAACTACAGGAAAACTCAACAATCAAACCCAGTATTGGAAGAATAGCCTAAGTGACAAAAAATGGATACACTGAGTAATGAGAGTATATCTGACAGTGATAAAAAATTCAAGATATTGTTTTCTTTCTGACAGTGATGAATCTACTTGTCTTGTCTTGAAAAGTAAACAATATGAAACAAATTCTCCAATTTTTGTGGGCTGTTTCCCTCAGTTTATTTGGAATGTGCAAAAAGAGTGTTGTACACTTTCACCTGCAATGGTTATGGTTTCTATAAGAGAGAAAAAAAACACAAACAGACAGACAGACATTCCTAATATTTGATTTTTTTCCCCTTGTTTAATTTTTGAAATCTTTTGTAAAATACATTAAAATATTTCTTTTATTTGAAGACACTAAACAATAAAAAAATTTACTTCTAATAAAAAATATGGTGAATTTATTATAAATGTTCAAGAGAATTGAATTATATTAAAATATGTATGATTGTACAGTAATTACTTATTAAATACTTTATATTTTAATAAAGATAGGGATTAATCAAAAAAGTCATCTAATTCCTATCTAGAAGAGAGAATAGTACAAATATGAAGATTTTATGTTTAGTTATGATGTTACTTTTACAAAATCTAGAAATTGATTGTGAAGGTAAAAGTTTATAGTTTATTACAATTTACATAATACAATTATACTGTCTTTGATTGCAGTTTCATTGAATTGGTCAGAATGGGGTAATTGCAAGGCTACTTGTGGACATGCCTCAAGAAGTAGCAGATGTAGACCAAATATAGGGTTCGTAATTAGTTTAATTTAATTTTTAGAATTTTAATTATTATAATTATTACATTTTCAGAACTGGTAGAAATTGTCCAAATGGTCAATACAGAAATCAGTGGTGTCGTAACCTACCAAAATGCCCTATTAGCGGTGGATGGTCAGATTGGGGACAATGGAACGAATGTTCCCAAAACTGTATACAAAACAGAACAAGAACTTGTACTAATCCACCTCAACAATACGGAGGTAACGATTGTATTGGAAATGCAACAATGTTTGCCAGTTGCAATTTGACAGCTTGTAAAGGTAAAATTTTATGTTTTCTATTAAAAAAATCAAAAACATAAACATTTCACAGCATTATAAATGAATAAAAGCCACACCCTAGAATTGACACATTAACATTTTAACTTTTAAATTTATTAATCTTACTAACCCTACTTTTAATCAATTTTTTTTAATTACTAAAGACAACAGTTGCTTTGCTATTTTTTTCTTTTTGCTTTCTTGTTTGCTTGATAGAATATTGGTTTATCATCCATTTATGTTAAGACACCTTAAACATTGTGATGGAGTATGGGAAAAAACGTCCCAAGGTTGGGAAAAATAAGTAGTGGGAAAAGATATTTGAATTAAAAAGATTGCTCTATTTTGGGAACCAATGACAATATACTGAGTATATAATAATTAATAATGAATATATGTTTAATGCAATCTTCTGCAAGAGGACAGCAGATGTAACCATTCCCAATCTGTATTCATCCCAAACAGCAAATACTTGGTTCTGCTTCTGGATGACACTTTTCTTCTGATACTTCTTTAGCCTTTTTTCTGATAGAAGTTTCTCTACAACTGGAATAAGACTTGATTCCTGTTTTAAAATATCTATGAGCATATAAAATGACCCTTTTGCAGGAGTCTTTTCATTTATTCTTCTGTGCCATCCTTCAACATCATTGTTGGTCCTGATGGCAAGACCAAATACAGACCAACAATTTGGTGTCCAAATTGAATGCTTAATCCAAGTACTTTCAATGTTTCTGTAAAAATAAGTTAACTTTCAAATATCAAATATGGCTGCCAATACAAAAATTATAAATAATAACTGACAGGAGAGAAGGGTTCTTAAAAAAATGTATAATCTTGTAATATTCAAAAAAACCAAATCAATACAAGAGTTTCAATGCTTAAAAAACAAATTAGCCTGAAAATATGCCAAGAACTGCAAAATTTATCTTTCACTTACAGACAATACAAGGAAATAATTCATTTCTCTTTTAATAGCAATACGTAATTCAGAGAAAACTGGTAAAAACATCACAATACATATACCTTTCTTCAAAAATATTAATATTTTATTCTATAAATGAAGTAAACAGCAAAAGAGAAAAACATTTCTGATTATAAGTATCAATAATTATGCCAAGTATATCTTTAGCCAGGCATAGGAAGTTTTTTCCCAAGCTTTAGGGCGTTTTTTCCCAACAATTAGGATGTTTTTTCCCAACAATTAGAACGTTTTTTCCCACCCTGGGACGTTTTTTCCCAGGGACGTTTTTTCCCAAGGACATTTTTTCCCGACCCCTTGTGATGACTTAATGGGAATCTTTTGGAAGTTAAGATCTATGAAAGTATTGAAGATGACTGCCATGAATAGTACTCACTATTATACATAATCAATCTATAATATTCATACTCTTAATAAAATCTTCATTACCTTCCAGCTTAATGGATTGAATATATGGACATTTAATAATCAGTTTGGTAAAGCTACTACAAACATTACTTTTTAATTTGCAGTATTCTAAATTGATCTCCTCCAAACAGAGAGATGACTTTAGAAGATTTACAATTCGATTTCCCGTATTTTGATTTAAACTTAGATCTATTGTTTTAATGTGTGGACACATATATAAAAGATTTGAAAGATCTTCACAGTCAGTTTCTGGTAATTTACAATTAGAAAATACAATTTTATTTAAAAGTGTTTGTTAAGGTCAATCTCATTCAATGAATTTTCAAATATAGTACAAACTTTTGCTGAAATTTGATTTTCACTTAAGCAGATACTTTCAAGTTTTGTACACTATTTTAATAAATTTCCAATAAATCTTAAATGACTATCATCTAACTGACAGTTTTTAAAACTCAAATCCTCTAAAGAAGCAGAAAATTTTTCCAATTCTTTGAATATATTGTTTTGTTCATCTCTCAAATTGGAAGATAATATTACCGTTTCAAGTTTACAACATTTACTCAACAGTTGTGCTATACTGTTTCCAGAAATTAGAAATTGTGAGCCTCCTAGTGAAATATGAATGCTTTCAATATTGTTACATGACATTTCCAGAGCACTGCAAACTATGGATGACATATTTTTATCATTTGCTTTAACTAATTCTACTGATTTTATTCTTGTATGTTGTCGTGCGACACTTGCCAAATCCATTAATACGTCAAGATTAAGAAAAAGTTCACTTAATCTAATCTCTTTTATTGTATTTGATGATATAGTCATCTACTCAGTTATGGTTGACTTCAAATTCAAAAAATCAATTATTTTTAGTCTATTTGGACATTTGATAAACAAGCTTAATAGAGGAATCCATGATTCAATAACAGTTTCGCTTCCACTAAAATATATTAATTTCAAGGTTTTATACGAATTTTCAAGGCCATCACAAATATTTTATATATCGTTCTTTGTACAGAAAATATTTTGAATATTAATAATTTCAATATTTGAAAAAAATTTTAAAAATTTTCCAATATTTTTATAGCAATTTGAATTTAGAGAGCAACTTGTAAAATTTAAGATTTTCAAAGTATGACAAGAATTTTGCAAACCTTGACAAATAGTAAAGAAATCATCATTTGGTATATCATATACAATTAGTGGAATTGTTACCATTTGATGTTTTGAGCAGTTATTTAATAATTCCTCAAATTGTTTGAGCATTTCCCAATTCATTCCTCATACAGCATTTAGTTTTTGTAATATTTTTGCCAGTACTTTAAGTACTTTACAACAATACTGGTTCTACATGAGAGTTCAATAGCACAGTAGATAGTTCGTAATAGCAAAATTATCAAACAGTCATCCAATATTGAGGAGTAAAGGGCTCGCCCCAGTGGAGGTTGTTTCCAGGTTATCTTAGGAAAGCCAATTGAATTTTAACTTGATCAAACCTTAACTGGTAATTAAACATAAGCCTTCAAGCCGACTAAGCAGACCTGTGTTTGGTCATTCCAATTTGGGATGTTCATTCCATGGGAAAATCTTTCCAGATCCCGTTAAATGAAGACATTAGGCATCTTGTAATCAAGAAATATAATAAACTAAGAAAATTATGGGCCATGGCAAGAGCTTTAGGAGTAGCACCTTCTTCAGTTATCAGTATTTTGAATTATCAACCACCAGAAGAGGAGGATAGAGGTTGCCCAAAGAAGCTTACAGAGAGAGATATAGGCAGGATGAAGAGAGCCATGCAGAAATAAGGAAAGGGTGACACCAGTCGAAATTTTGAAGGAGTTAGATTTTGATATTAGCCTAGTAACCATTCAGAGGGAACTAAAAAAACAAAAATTTTGGTATAAGTGAGTTAGACAAAAACCTGATCTCACAACCAACAATTGGAAAAGGAGAAATTTTTTGTCTTAATATGATCAGCGATAATCTAGACTGGTCTTAAGTACAGACGAGGTTAGATTCTCAATAAATGGGCCATATGATTTTTATATGTGGACCAAAGATGGTGAAAAAGACTTTAGGGTGACAAAAAATATAGGTAGACGTGGAATAATGGTCTGGGGGCTGATAACATCTGATGGAATATTTGAGATATGACAGATAAAGAAAAAACTTAATGCTGACAATTGCAGCTGTTTTATTGTGCAAGATGTTCCCCAGTTATAGAAAAGATTGAGGCAAAAATGGGGAGGAAGCATTATCTTGCTGGATGACATACTGCCAAGATAACTAAAAGAGCCTTTCAGATGAATGGTATCCATCCTCTTGATAGGCCAGCAAGGAGAACACATGTCAGCCCAATTGAGAACATGTGGCATCTCACTAAAAAACTGGTACAATTAGCATCTGAGGATGAGTTATGGAAAAACATTAAAAAATGCTCTTATCAGCTGATAAAAGAGGAGCTAGGTTGTTACCAAGTCTATACAATGGAATGGGACATTGAATCAGTAGATTCTTACAAAAAGAGGGTGGTCAGATCTAAAAAGAGGAATAATATAAACATTTTTTGCGCCTGTTCCAATTATTATGAAGTATGGGCAAATAAGAAAAAAATCAATAAAACAGTGCATAATATAAACATAAAAATATTATATAAAATCTTACCTAATTTGTATTTGAAAGAAAACCATAAATAAATTTAGGCTTAATCTAAGATTCAATGCAGAAAAAAAATGTGAACAAGATTTTTAATATGTTGACCTATCAAAATTCAAAGTGTTCCATTTTTTATGAAGTATATTTTATTGCTCAAGAAAAGCAACAGCTGCTCAAGACACAGTGACATACAAATTACTTATATGTTTTTAAAATAAAAGATATATTGGAGAGATTGAAAGTCCTTAAAATGATAATTTAACAGAATAAACCAAGTAAAATATCAATGTTTATATCATATCATTTGACTTTCATAGTGCACTAGACTTTTAGAGTCATGATTTTTAACTGATACATGCTTCTTAACCAAATAAATTTCTATGAATTCACATATTATTTTTTTAAAATGTTTAAATTTTGCTTGAACACACCATGTCTGTATTTGTTTGTCAGTTCATGCTATATTTTGAATGTTAAGAGAATGCAGATTTCACACTGTGTCTGCAGTGTCATTGCAGTTTAATATCAACAAACATCTTTTACAAAGATCAAACAAAAAGAAAGTGAAAAGTTAAACAGACATTAAGGTTCACTAACCATAGTGTGATTTAACTACCTATGAACATTATTTTAGCTAATTAAATTACTAAACTTGTTGAAATGAGTGAATTGTTGTATTTGGAATGTTGAGAAAATTGTATTCCAAGTTCTTCATAGTCTAATTTATTTAAACTATCATAAATATATTGAGAAGAAAACAAAGGACTATGTTTCATATTAAAGAATAGTAATTTGATATTTTCTAATTTCATTTCATCTTTATTTAGGTCAATAGTCAAATTAGTTGGAGGTTCACTATTATCAATTTCCAAATCCAATGTAGATTCAATTTCAAAACCAATTGGATAGTGATGACTTACAGGATGATAGTAAAATACTATGTCACTTTCTTTTATAAAATGTTTTTCTAATTCATCTCCACAAATGAATAGCCTACAGAGAAAAAACATTCAATGAG